AACCATCTAGTAACCCCATCCCTGCAGCCGCCCCAGAACGCGCACCCGTACCCCTAGATCTGGTAGTAGCCCTTTGAAAGGACACCTTTGAAATACCCTTCAAGGAATGCCCTCGAAGGAACCTGAAAAGCCCCCTTAAACGAACTCTTAAAGGAACCTAAATACAGATCCCTCAAAATAGAACCCATATACACATCCCTTAAAGGAACCAATATGGATCCTTTTCAGGAGCCCATATAGATCCTTTGAAGGAACCCGTCTAGATCCCAGAATGCATCCCCTATAGATCCTGTAAGGGAACCCATAAGGATCCTTTTTGGGATCCCATATAGATCTTTCAGAGAAACCCATGCGGATCTTTTTAAGGAGCCCATATACATATCCGTTAAAGGAACCCATCTAGCTTGTTAAAGCAGAACGCATCTAGATCCCTTAAAGGAACCCACATGAATTCTTTTGAGGAAGCTATATAGATCCCATTAGGGAACGCATGTAGATCCGTTTACAAAGAACCCATGCGAATCTTTTAAAGGAGCCCATCTAGATCCCAGGAAGGATACCATGCCCAGGATCCTTTGAAGGAACCCTTCTAGATCCCCTAAGGAACCCATATGAGTCCTTTTGAGGAAGCTGTATAGACCCTCCTTTAAGGAACCCATACAGACGGCTTCACGGATCCCATATGGACCCTGTACAGGATCCTATACAGCTTCTATAAAGGACTATATAAATCCTTTAAAGTGTCTTTACAGATTCTATTAAGGACGATATAAATCCTTTCAAGGGTCCTTTTCAGGGAGCTTATTGCTTTTGCTTTTCGAGGGGCTCGGAGATGGACCTTCGCTTCGAGCGGCGCCGGGCGCTGCTTGGGGGGCTCCTGAGAGTCCCACTGAAGGGTCTTTTAGGGTTTAGGGTGTGGGCTTTTAGGGTGTAAGGTTTGGGCTTTTCGGGTTTAGGGTTTAGGGTTTGGGCTTTTAGGGTCTAGGGTTTGGGCTTTTGGGGTTTAGGGGTTGGGTTTGGGGTTTGGGTTGAGGGTTTAGGGCTTGGGCTCTGGGTTTGGGCTTTGGGTTTAAGGTTTAGGGTTTTGGGCTTAGGGTTTAGGGTTTAAGGCTTAGGGTTTGGGTGGTGTCTTTAGGATTTCTTTGGGGTGATTGGGGTGTTTAGGTTTCTGTTTAGTGCTTTTAGGTTGTGTTGAGGTTTGTCGTTTCAGGGCCTAGGGTTTAGGGAGCCTAATTGATAGAATAGGGTTCTTTTAGCTATTCCTTGATAGGAGTTCATTACCGGGTGTATATGCGAGTCTATTTAACTGCTTTAGCATCTGACATCCAATAAGTTATCGAGGAAAATAAGTATCCTGGAGCACCGACCGAAAAGGCTGAACCCTAGAACTGGAGCCGGAGAACCTGTAAACCCAAACACAGAAGGAGAGATATACGGCTTTCTCCAATAAACCCCGAGTCGAGTCAGTTTCTCAAAGCCTCTATGAATGCTCGGGGCATGAATGCTTAGGAATATGGGGTTTGGTGGTCCCAAGCACCCAAGTATGAGGCCCTTCGGACCCTGGGCCTAAAACCCTGAAGCCCTAAAACCCTAAAGCCCTAACACCTGAAAGCCCTAAACCTGGAACTCTAAAGACTGAGCGCCCCTAAAGCCCTGAACCCTAAAACTCTCAAAGCTTGACGTCGGATACAGTGAAAAACTAAACCCTGAACCGTGCAACCCTAAAGCCCGGCTCCAGGACCCGCCAGTTGCCAAAAGAGTTCCGCCAGGACTGCCATTGGACCTTCGGGGTTTAGTTTAGGCTTTAAGGGTTTAGAGGTTGAGCTCTAGATTTTAAGTTAGGGGTTTACTTGAAGGATCATGGGGCTTAGTAACTAGGGTTCGGTATGTATATATATATATATATACACACACTTATAAAGTACCCATCCTTGTAAAGACTGTCCCATGATCTTCCCCAAGTATGGTCCTGCGAGGGGTTACGGCCTAGTCTCTAGATTCGTGGGGTAGAGGGTTCGAGGGGTTTGGGGGGTTGGGCTTTAGGATTTTGTCGGTCTAGGCTTAAGGCTTAGGAGTTAGGCTTTAGGTTTTAGGGCTTTTGCGGTTGGAGACTCTCGGTGATGGAGTGGGTTTGGCGGAGCTTCGGAGGGATTGAAGCGACGAGGCGTTATGGTGTGCTACCTTGCTACAGCATCGGCTGAAAAGTTTGGGGATTGGCTTGCTTGGGTAGGTGTGGCAGTGCACGGTGTATTAAGAATTTTAAGAATTCATCATGACACCCCGCCCAACAACAAGATACCACTTTCACTACTTTTTGGACAACAAATACATCGAAGCCATGATCATGTGATACTGTACCTGCCCTACCTTGTCGCGAACTAGCAGTGCTCACGCTAGAAGCAGCAGCACTCCAGCTTTGTACGATAATCGAAAAAGGTAGTCTAACGGGATATGCTTACTACTTCTTCCGATCACACTATAATCAAAGAAGGCACTTTAGGGGGATGGTCTTTCTAGTTCCTCCGAACCCCTAGATTGCCCAGAAATGTCCCCCTCTCTTCTCGGCCAAGCAACCATGACGGAGACGGTGACAGGGGCGAGGCCGAGCGCCGACCCCTGTAGTTTAAAGTCAGCGCTTCATGGGGACTGACGCTCTAAACCCTACGCAAATGCCCTACCAAGGATTTTTGTTCAGGTGGTATGCAACGGACAGCTGTTTTTTGGGTTAGCCCTGAACCGAAAACCATCCTAAACCCTCAACCCATAAAGAGAGCCGAGTTTGCTCAGGTTCAAGGGCCTAATTGTTTAGTGTGTAGGGTTTTAGTTTTAGAACAAGAGAAACGACAGAGAGAGAGACAGAGAGAGACACACACGTACACTACTAAGATCCCACAACTGACATCATCAAGCTGTGAAGGCACGGATCTCCTGAGCAGGTTCTCAAAATTCGGCTTCTCTGCTCCTCCATTCTCGGCTAGTACACTCCTCCATCTTTCTCTGGCCGACTCTGTCCTGCACCTTTAAAGCTGAACCCTAAGCCCTGAACCGTAAACCCTGATCCTGAAATCCTCATGCTTCTTCCGAAGCTACCGAGGTCTGCATAGCACTTTCCCACCTTTCATGTTGAAAACAGATGCTCTTATCGCATGGTGGCATGATTTTGCAGTATCGTCTGGATCCTCATAATCACGCTACGCCTTGGTGCCTCTATTTTGTAGATGGATGTACAATTGCAGGCCTCGCCCGCTTCGGCGTGCAGGGTGCCCCCGCAGATCGCAAGGGAGCGCAAGTGGGAACCGGCACTCCGCGATACGCCATGGCCTTGAAGATGAAACGCCCCCTGAAAGGGGCTAAGGCTTAGGTAACATGCAGGACTAAGGACGTCATAGTATCTGGGCATAGGCCCTTACTTGTACGGGTCATTTCAGGGGGTCTTTGGGTCTGGCAAGATTTTGGCTTTGGAGCCTCAGAACACAGAGCTTCTTTAGGTTCCTACGATGGTCTCGGACTCGGTAGTGCTGTGCCTTACCAGGCCGGTCCTGGGATGCCGGTAGCTTATGGATGCTGAAGGGTGTGCAAACGGTTCTGTATGGGATTGCATAGGTGACTTCTGCAGGGTTCCGTGGGTCTTAGAGCCCAACATTGAGGGCGTAGATCGTACGGCTTGCTGTGAAAGAATGCATCGAGTGCCCGTGAGCCGCAAGAACAGAAAGCTTCAGCCATCGGGGCAAGCGCAGCGCCCTGAAACCAGGGTTTTTAGGGTTTAGACATAACCTACCGTTGGCTTGTCCAGTCTTACCGTGAGGACCCTGTCAATATACATTTGGTTCATCAAAGGAGACTTAATACCACTACCCTGAAACAGGGGTATATGGTCCCAAACAGTGAGTACTTAGGGTCTAAGAGACTGGTTTCTTGTTAAAGGATTTAGTTTAAGTTACCATAGTAAGGAAACCATAGACTATAGATCCCCATCATGGTAATTTAAATTAAATCCTTTAACAAGAGCCTAGGAGAGGATCGATGGGGGCCCAGGTAGTTGACAAGACTGACTGGGGACCTCCTCCTTCAGTTGGTTTAGGGTTCTAGGGTTTTAGAGTTTAGGGTTTTAGGGTGTTAGGGTTTTGGGGTCTAGGGTCTTGGGGTTTAGGGCTTTAGGGTTAATTTAGGGCTTTAGGGTTTTAGGGCTTTCGGTTCTAGGGTCTTCGGGTTGAGGGCATATGCCCGAGAGCAGGCAGCGAAAACCCTCAACCCTCAACACTTGGCCTCTTACATAAGATATGAGCCATAACCTTTCGAATTAAGGATTTCTTAAAGAACCCTTTGTTCTAAAGGCCTGCGGCTGATGACCATGATGATCATGGTGGTGATGATGAAACTGATAATCATGGTGGTGATGATGGTGATCATGATGATGACGACGGTGTAGTATCTAGTCATAATGATAATGCTGAGCAGTGCTTCAGGATGATATCGAAAGGCCCATAAGTGGCTTCTCACTCAACAGTCGGGGACCGGGAGCTCAAGGCTGAAAACGAGTAACTCATTCAGCCATGATTAGGTACTCGGGGTCTAGGATGGTAGTTCTGAGGGCTGAAGGTGCTTGGGCTTAGGATACTTGTCGCTTAGGGTTTCAGGGCTTTCGTTAGGGCCTTGACTCAGCATCTTTCAGCCCTGCTTTGTTTTTCGATTGGCATAGCCGCTAACCCACCTCAGTGGCTTCGCTTGCGATAGGAGAGTAAGAGCTGCTTCGACTGAGAGCATAAGGATGCGATGTGTTTCGGCCTCATAGGATTTCGAGGCTTTTGTTGAAGAGGGTCTGTCAGAAGCATCTCGTTCTTGCTGACATTCGGCTCTGCCGGAATGTCGGCTGTAACTTGGGTGAAAGCTGCAGCACAGGACTGCATTCCGGAAGGCATGAAGACGAGCTGCAAAGCCAGGGAGACACTTCTTCTAAACGAGTTCAGACAGCAAGGCCCACTCTCTGATGCTCTCACGCATTACTTCCCTGCAGCTTTGGCTTTGCACTCGTCGGGGCCGTAGTGGGTGCCGCGTACGGTCCCCCCGCCAATCTCACCTAGCTTTCGCCAGCAAATGCGATCGTTCTCGTCCAGCTCAAGGACCCTCACAAAGCAGTCCTGCGAGACAATGGCCCGCCGGATTCGTTTTTGTCCAATCTGGGTTTGGCCCTGTGCCTGCGCAAAGGTTTTGTTCGAAGATTTGGGGTTTTTTTGGCATTCAAAGGGCTTGAGTCCAGGGATTTGGGGTCTTTTGTGGGGCCTCAGGTTTCAGCAAGAGCCTTCAGGATTGTGTTTTTTTTACGGAGCTTCGGGTGTCTTGAAGGTCTTTGGAAGCTCCTACTCTGCGCCTGCGGAAACCTGCACAGCGGGCGGAAAACACACCCTCGGCCTCCCGGAAACTCTGACAGGCCCTGGCCCTAGTCCCTCCCCACCACCGGTCCTTTCCATCATAGGCTTGCCCCTTCACGGTTCCGCCGCCTTCGACTCCGAGGTTGCGCCACGCATTCGCATACTTCTCATCCAGCTCCAGGGCCTTCACGTGACAGCCCTGCAGGGGGCCGGGGCAGCGGTGGTTCATTTCAAAAACCGGCCACATGCGAAGCTGAAAGGGGCTCCCGAGGCCGAAGCGGCCAAAACGGATGCTTTTCGGAAGCTTGAAAAGAATAGCCAGGACTGCAAAGCTTTGGGAAGACTTGGGCTTTGGGACGTTTTGGGCCTGCAAGGGGGCTTGAGTCCAGGGATTTGGGGTCTCAGGTTTCAGCAAGAGTCTTCGGTTAAGGATTGTGCTGGTTTTTAAGGGGCTTCGGGTGTCTTGAAGGTCTTTGGAAGCTCCTACTCTGCGCCTGCGGAAAACACACCCTCGGCCTCCCGGAAACTCTGACAGGCCCAAGGCCCTGGCTTTAGTCCCTCCCCACCACCGGTCCTTTTCATTGTAGGCCTGGCCCTTCACGGTTCCGCCGCCTTCGACTCCGAGGTTGTACCACGCATTCGCATACTTCTCATCCAGCTCCAGGGCCTTGATGTAACAGCCCTCCAGGGGGCCGGGGCAGCGGTGGTTCACTTCAAAAACCGGCCACATGCGAAGCTGAAAGGGGCGCCCGAGGCCGAAGCGACAAAAACGGATGCTTTGCGAAAGTTTGAAAGAATTGCTTGGCCGGCTTATGTACATGAGGACTGCACATGCAGTTAGATGGTTTCGAAAATTTTGGGGGTTTCCGACTTCTTCGGCCTTGAAAGGACAAGGCGCTTTCAAGTTTTGGAAGGGAATCCTTTGGAGCGCTTGGGTTTGGGGCCTCTCTTTATGGGGCTTCAGGTTTCGGGGGTCAGGATATTACGTGGTGTAAGCCCTGCGCAGGCATTGGGATTGATATGACTGCAAGAGACCTTCTCCACATGGCAAGTGTCTTCGGGAGGTTGTGGGTTTCAGCGGGCTCCAGAACCTTCTGGGTCTTGAGAGCTGCCAGGCTCCATGGGACCCTCGGCTCCGCCCAACGCTCAGGACCAGGCTTGTTTTGTGGGAAGTACAGGCTACTTCTGGCTGCAAGAGTCTCAAGTTCATGGCCGCCGGTTTCAAGGACCTTCGGGCGTCTGTGGGGTCATCGGTCATCGACTGTATTGGGAGCCGCTGCGATTGAACGGAGCAGCGGGCAGAAAACAAACCCTCGGCCTGCCATTCACGACCGGAAACCGCAAACTCTGACAAGCCCAAAGCCCCATTCCCCCCCCGCCCCCCCGCCGGTCCTTTTCATCATAGGCCTGGCCCTTCACGATGCCGCGGCCGACGCTTGCGAGGCCTAGCCACGCATACGCACAGTTCTCATCCAGCTCCAGGGCCTTGATGTAACAGCCCTGCAGGGGGCCGGGGCAGCGGGAGTTGTGAACGACCTCGCGCCCTCGTTGACAGCTGGACTTCAAAAACCGGCCACATGCGAGTCCCGTCAACCTCCCGTGTACGAGGGTCCCAGACCGGAGCGGCAAAATTGTAGCGTTGCAGAAGTGCATACGCAAGTTGGCAGCAGGGAGGCCGATGTTCCACAGCCGTTCAGGCCAAAGCTTTGCAAGTTCTTGCTTTTTCCCGCGTTTTCGTTTAGTAAGGGGCGAATCGGGGTCGAGCTTTACAGGACGTTGAGGACTATTTGAGGTCTCTGGGTGTCTCACGTTTCCGGCGTCAGGCCCTGCAGGGTGTGTGAGCTCTAAAAGTTTTCGGAGTGCGACTTACGACGTATGACTGCTGGAGACCTTTCTTCTCCAATTCAACAATCTACCACAAGCCCGGGATCGACTTGTTTCGGGGTTTAGGATTTCACTGGTCATCGATGTCCTACTTCTTGGGGCCCTTGGGAGTCGCTGCCTAGGAGGTCCCCAACTAGATCGCCATACGTCTGCCTAGGTTGGCTGGTGGGCACCCCATCTAGTTAGATCGCTATACATCTGGGGGCTTCAGGACAAATGGGCTCCTGGTACTCCGTCCCTCTTCCCACGTGCGCTCGGGCGGCCCCGTCCTGCTCTGAGTACCTCTGGCCATTGCGCTCGCCACCACCTTTTCGGCCCAAGTCGAACCACTCCTGGCAGTGTGTCAAGGTCAAGCGGCCATGATTAAGATTCATTTTCGGGGGTACCGCCACCTAGGCCTCTTTTGTGAATGCCGTGCAGCTGCTTGAAAATTTCTGTGACTGCTTCGAGATGGAAAGCTTACCCTGAACGCTCAGCACGACAGCTGCTTGTGCACAGAGCCGCACGGCCCGATGGGAGTGAGCGAAGGAATAGAGACAGGCTCCGAACGGATTGGCGGGGCATAGGGTCGTTCTTCGAGCAGGCAAAGGGGGCGTCATTTCGGACCATTTTACGCAAATTCAGAAGATGTTTACAACGAAGGTCGGATCGAACCCACTACATTGCAAAGAGAAGCTCGAGCTGCCGATAACGTCTGAAGGCGAACGATGCCGAAAGTCTTGTGACCCCTGGTGCAGTTTGGCGCAGCTTCTGCCGCGCTTTGCTTCCCTCCAGCCCATGCAAGGCTCCGGTCCGATCGAACTCATCTTGCCAGCCCTCTACCGGCGGCCCCGGCGGACCTGGCCCCTACAGTATACCCTATACACCAAACAACCCCCCCTACATCATAATATCTGCACGTCGTAGTAGAGACCACTCCGCCTCAGCTACGGAGTACTTGAATTGAGCCCCGGTCGCCACTCCCTGGCGAGCCCCTGTCAGCTATAAATTTAAGCAACACAGAGCTTCAGTACTTGTTGTAGTTGTTGTAATACACCGCCTGTTCACAGGTAGAAACGCCTTATTTGAAGCCCGGTCGCCACTCCCTGGCGAGCCCTGCCTTGGGTTCTGCGGCATCTGCGAGGCTGGGGGAAGCGCTCGGGACCACGGCCTTCCACGGAGAGAGGCACGGCTTTTTGTGGGGTTGTAGAGGTCCCAACCGGCCAACACGTCGGGCACGACTCTGTCTCTCAGACTCGGCTGAGGCCCTCTGCCGCTTCTGAGGTGCTCCCCAGGCTGCGGACAATTCAGTGACTTCAACTCTCTCTGCATAGGATTGGACTGTTGAAAGCTTGGCCTTTCGCTTGAGTGCTTAAAGGGTGTAGAGTTTAGTGATTTAAGGTTTCTATCAGTAAGCCAATTAACCCCCTGCGCCCAAACTCAAGATAAATCGATAGTGCCTTCAGTACAACAGTCGAAGGTGCAAGAACTTCCAACCTGTAAGTTGACAAACTATACGGGCTTAGGATGTAGGTTTTAGGCCGTTAAGCCCTGAAGGCACCTTGTTGGGCAGGGGACGCATGGACACTGCCATTGAGGGGAGGAACTCGAAGGAGACCTCGCCAACCTGTGCACAGCCGGGGGTAAATCCTTCGAGTTCGGGTCATACAGGTGCGACATGTGTTGGACTAGGCTGGGTCCAACACTTCTCAATCCATGAACCAGTACACTCCCACGCTATGGCAGCTAGAGCTGGCGAAATCGGCAAAGCAAGAGCCATCGGGACATTGGTTCCCGCGCTGGTCCAGCCTTGGTATATTGCTGGCTGTACCCCGCGGCGCTTGAAGCGCAAGGGCTCACTCCCTCCCCAAAATGCTTCAGATATCTCAATCTAAACATTGCAAGATCCCCTGAAGTAGATACCACCCCTCTCAAGTACGACCCTCTCAAGTACGAGTATTGGAAGCTTGGTCGACCATGCTGCCTCGAATCCAATCCCCGGCGTGTCCTGCCTTGGCTTCCTGGGCGTCTGCGGGGCTCCGCGAAGAGCTCGGGGCCACGGCCTTCGACGGAGTGAGGCACGGCTTTCGGTGCCAAGACGTCAGGCCCCGCTCGATCTCTGACCCTGTATTGTTTGGAGGACTTGGCTATAGTGCTTCTATCAGTCTGGGGACGTGGGATTCTAGTCTCAATCCGCTTCCTCTTGTGAACACCACATACAGTCATTGCCGTGTACAACTGCCTGACTGCATGAAGTTGAAAGCCTACAATGAACGGTCAGCGCGACACCCGAATACGCTCGAGCTCAGCCATGCGCGACCCAGTCGGAGCCAGCGATGCGAAGGAACACAGCTGACGAATGGACTTACAGGGCATCAGTCGGGCAACGTTAGCCATCCACAGCGACTTGCCTCCAGACTTCTCCGACCCCTGCAAGTGTTCTAAAACATAAAGGTTTGGGCCTGGAGGGCGTGATACAATCTGCTTTGACAGCACTGCGGTGGTGTGACAGAGCAACCAGAACGATGCAAAGAACATGCTGAAGTGGACTGGACAACTGGCAGCCCAGGCACAAACAGTGAGACAGGCCTAGGGCCTCCGGAAGCCTCTCATTTCAGAAGCTGGACACGTAAGGCCTGAGACCTTCTGCAGACTTTGAGGACATGTTGCTCGTGGCGATGTAGTAGACTGTAATGTACATTGTAATGTAAAGCAACTATGTATCTATGTATGTATGTACG